GGAGGGACGGCGGCCATGCTAGCGGGTGCCCCGGTCGTGAGGGGCTCCCGCCGCGCGAAAAATTGCGATCGGTCTGCGCCAGGGCGCGAACGAGGAGACAGGCCGGCGGGCGGCGAGAAGGCCGGGGGCCGGACGCCGGGGGAAGTCGCGGCGCAAGAGAACAAGACAGTCCCTGGGGGGGGGGGGGGGGGGGGGGCAGGACCCGGGCAAGGACCTAACACCGAGCTGGGGCCACCCACCCCAATGGCGCGCGCGCGCGCGCGCCTACACGCCCCCGGGGCTGTCCCCCTCTGCTTTCCTGGCCCCCGCCCCTTGGCAGCCGTCGGGCGTCCCTGCCAGGCCGTTCGGCTGCCGCGAAAGAACCGCCCGGGAGGGACAAACCCCCGGCGCTCGGACGGGGCCTCCAGCCGGGGCATGTGTGCTTGGGGGCGTGTTGCATGCGGGGGTATCTTCAAAATAGACTTGTCCACCGCCCTTCCTCCAGCTGGTCCCTCAGCCACTTTGGCCGGCGCCGACGCGGACGTGAGATGTACGGCTCCAGCCGCGAGGCCCCGCGCTGCCTCACCCAGCTGCCAATGTCTGCCCCTTTTTAGGGCGTGCGCACCCTCCCCCCCCCCCCCCGTCCCGCTAGAGAAGGTGCGCCGGGCCCGGGTGTGTGTGTGTGTGTGTGCGCGCGGGGCAGAAGAGTTCGGGGGCGGGGCCTTGCCATTTAATGGCGTGAGGGCTGGCGGCCCTCCCCCGCCCAACGGGCAGAGGGGGGGGGCGGCCGGGGCGTAGGCGGCTCGATCAGGCGTGTGTGCCCCCTGTTACGGCTCGCCCCCACCAGCCCAGCCTTGCTGAATGCCTGGCCAGGTCCCGGTGTCCGACGTCCGGCCGGCCCCCCTGCCACCGCGCCCCCGCCTTGCCGGCGACAACCGGATTCACCGCCAACGGCACTCGAGCATGTTGCAGACACACACACACACACACGCACGCCCACACCCACACGCATTTATGCATGCGCGTTCGCGCACAGGCACGCGTCCGTGTTTGTCACCCTGCCCCCTTGGCGGTCGTTGGCCGCTCGGACGCATCACATGATCCATGCTCTGACTGGCAGCTCACCATCCGACGTCGCAGGGCGCCGGGGGGCGGGGGGATGCCGCCCTGTGTGTGTGTGTG